GCTCGGGGCCGGCACCGGCTCTGCGGGCCCAGAGCTGCCCGCAGCGCAGCGAGGACGGTCCCCACGCACGCACGGGCACCCATCGTCTGCGCTGACCACCACCATCAGGCAGTTTCCCCCCCGTTTCCCACTCAGGATCCTTCTTGGCAACAGAATTCCTGTGGGGGGCACAGAGCAAAGCCTCGTGGGGCTGGAAGGTAAGAGGGAAACGGGCACCGAGGGCGTCTTTAAAAGAACAAGGAGTTCCATCGAGCCGACCGCGCCTCGCCAGCGTTCTCTGCACGGTCAGCAGGACAACCCTGGCAAGCAGCAGGGTGAGCTGCTGGACCCCGGGCACGGACACACAGCCACACGCCCGAGGGGACGCGCGCAGGCGCCTTTGCGAAGGTCTCGAGCAAGCACAGACGCAACGTGCAGCTAAATGGATTTGACCAAAGCTTTAGCCCCCCACATCTTAAGTTTGTCCCATGTGAGGGAGCAGGACCTCCTTTCGCTTCAGCAGCTTGCTATTCACAACGCAGAGGATGCGCCTGTGCGCCAGCACAACTTAACAAATTCTCTAGAGAGAGAGAGAGACTTGCGGCACGAAATCCGCACACCCTCGATCCTGCCAACGTTCCCGCTTCTCCTTTCTGTCACGGCAGAACAGAAAAGCTGTCCCGGTGATCTTCACACCTCCCTCCTCACAGCTGAGCGGGTCGTTTTCTTCCTGCCCCCTAAGCGCCCTCGCAGGCTCCGCACCCCCCAGGGGATGAGCTGGAGCCTGAAGAGCAGCTTACGGAAATGTTAGCGAAGGCTGTTCCAACCATGAAGTAGAAGAGCCTGGGGTGGACCTCCAGGATGTCTGTCGGGGACACAAAGATCCACGTGGTGCAGAGCAGGAAGAGCAGCACTGGGGACACCAGGGGCAGCAGGATTTCGTACACCGAGCGGTGCTTCAAGGTGTTGTTTTTATAGGCCCTGAAAGGCAAAGACATGAGAACCCCCGGAGCCACAGCTCGGACACCCCTGGCCCTGCCTCCCGGGGAGGCCTGCGGGACCCCCGGGGCCATTCTGCCGCCCGCA